TCTGCCTCCCGGGTTCAAGTGATTCTCCTGCCTCAGCCTCCCTCGTAGCTGGGATTACAGGCTCACACCACCACACCTGGCTAATTTTTTGTATTTTTAGTAGAGATGGGGTTTCACCATGTTAGCCAGTCTGGTCTCAAACTCCTGACCTCATGATCTGTCTGCCTCAGCCTCCCAAAATTTGGGGATTACAGGCGTGAGCCCCCACGCCCAGCCCCCTTTCTGTCTTTCATAAGGAAAATAATAACTATTATCTAATCGTACTGTTTCTCAATCCGTGGGAGTGAGAGGAAGTTTCTTTAAAAATAAAATGTATAAAAAAGTGAGTCATGTTAGATTATCTGAGTGTTGGATAAGCTGAGGTGGTGTGGGGATATGGTAAAGCTCATGACACTGGTACGTGAAGGACTGAAGTTTGTCAAGCACTTCACTAGACTAGCTGAGAGTCAGTAAATAATCACTCTAAGATTGGAAACTTGAAATCCTAGAAATGCTTCCAAAATTATACTGGCTGATTTCATTTTCAAATGCTGCACACAGAGGGGCTCTCACCTGTAAGGAACAGAGAACCCTCTTCAACCCCTCATAATCCTTCTCTGTTAGTGGTGTGAGCACTGTCATGGCATCCTCTGTTGACTGGCACTGTGGACAGACATACTTATCAATGAGCTCGACCTCACTTTGCAAGATGCCAATGCAGCACCCATGGTACCAATTCTGACACTGATCATGGCCAATAAAAAATCTGCAAGATCCGAAACAGAAATGTGAGTTCAAAACAGATGGGATGATGTTACTTATAATAAATCATGCACCTGAAAATTTGCTAAACCCTGGGATATAAAATAGTTTTAGTTTTATGGTTTTAATACTTTCTAGATTGACATTCCAGTACATTAATTTAGTATTTTTTGATGTTAAGAACAAGCAGTGGAAAAAAATGTGTAAGAACAATTGGAGAGCCAATTTAAAGATAAATATGAAACATTTAATTGATTTTAAAGCTGAAAACAAAGTCAAAAATCTTTCAACTAGTACTGTACCATATGGGAGTTCAAAACCCTGTAAGCTAATAACAGAGTCCCAGAGCTTGTACCCAAATTAGTGTTTTTCTAACCTATAATAAATCACCATTTTAAACACTGATAAAATCCAAACAAGTCAGGCTATTTTAACCTCATTAATTTCTATGTTACATGTTGAAGAATCAAATCTACCATCAAACCACATTTTCCCCAGTGTGTCTCAAACATTCACCATGAAGCAAGATAAATTTTGAAGGGTAGGTAAAAAGAGAAAAAGAGAAAAATGAAAAGGAATTTGTAATATGAATTTGTAAATGAAAAGGAAGTGTATATCAAACATATAAAAAATCTGCTTTTTATTTTAAAATAAATAAGTAACCAGTCAGAGCAATTTGGCTTCCTAAATTATTAAATATGATGCTCTTATCAGAACTCACTGTGACTGCACGTGTTCTGCAGATACAGTACAATTCCTCACTGCTGCCCTCTTGTGCCCATTTACAATCATTACAGATGTACACAACCATTTTCTTAGCCTCCTTTTCTGAGATGCCAACACATTCTCCATGATACCAGTTAGTACAAAGATCATAGCCAATATAGAACCTGAAAGTATTCACAATGAAAATAACAATGTAATTGTCATTTTAAGCTGCCTGGTACTTAAATCTGTCTTCCCTGCCTTGCTTCACTTTTTTTTTATAGGATAACTTCCTACAATGAATCAGCTAAACATTCCTGAATCCAACCATTCTACCCCTGGCAGACTCCAGTATCTGATGCTCTATCATGTGTGGAAAGAAAGTCACTCACATCGGTTTCAACAAGTACACTGCTTAGTGAAATATGGGTCTTTAAAACATACTGGAATTTGAAAAATAAACCACACACTGATGGTCATGTCTTCATGTGAATGAACGTGTGAAAACTGTAACAGGCACAAAAACCAAAGCCAAAAAATCAAAGACTTACATCTGTCAAACCTATTTTGAATGGCTTTACAGAAGCCATTTCAATATCAGGGCTATTTCTTAGATAGGTTTGAAAATGTATCTCACAATTTAAATTTGAAAACAAAGCGACGTGCAAACACCAGGTAGAAGTTACACTACAAGGAACCTGCAGGTCAGCCAGGTGTAGAAGATAAATGGTCAAAATATAATACGAAGAAGAAAACCAAGAAAGGTACATAGAGCAATTCAATCTCTACCAGGTTTTCTGAATAAACATTGGAATTTAATCAAATTAAAAATAACCTCTCAGAATAGAATAAGGCATGGGCCAGTTTTTCGGTTAATATAATGTTTGTGACAATGTGGACAGCGGCCTGGCTAATGGGCAGGGAAAGTGGAAGGAGCTGCTTCAGTTCAACACCGGGGACATGGAGTGGGGAACGATGCAAGGATAGTTGTCCCAAATCTGTGAGGGTCTACACTGCTTGGCAAGGCGGAGCTGTGTAAGTGTGTGATTGTGGAGTGCAGAGTGGCCTCTGTAATAAAAGACCTAATGACAAAAGGAAAAGTAAATGTAAGAAACGCTATACAGTGTGTCTACAAGTGTTGATAGACACTGTGTAGGAACACTATGGCAAAGTCATAGTGAGAATTACCAAGAATCACAGGGAACCAGACTGGCCTTGCTGACACCATTGGCACTCTTAGCTCTACCAAGGCATTTCTTGGTAGATTTACCTAGAGGAATGGAAGTTGTCCTCAAGCTTCAAATTGACCTGCTTCATGAATGTGAAGGAATAATACATGGTTATGTCGTTTATCCTGTTACCACTAACTTTTTTCTTTTGTCTTGCTGCATAGCCCAGGCTGCAGGGCAGGGGCAGGATCACGGCCTCCTGCAGCCTGGACCTCCCAGGCTCACATGATCCTCCTACCTCAGCCTCCCAAGTAGCTGGGACTACAGGCGTGCACCACCATGCCCGGTTATTTATTTATTTATTTATTTATTTATTTAATGGAGACTTGCTCTGTCTCCCAGGCTGGAGTACAGTGGTATGATCTCGGCTCAGTGCAACCTCTGTCTCCCGGCTTCAAGCAATTCTCCTGCCTTGGCCTCCCAAGTAGCAGGGATTACAGGTGTGTGCCACCACATCTGGCTAATTTTTGCATTTTTGATATCGCCATATTGGCCAGGCTGGTCTTGAAATCCTGACCTCAGGTGATCTGTCCACCTCGGTCTCGTGAAGTGCTGGGATTATAGGAGTGAGCCACCGTGTCCGGCCAATTTTTTGTAGAGACAGGGTCTCCCTGTGTTGCCCAGACTGGTCTCAAACACCTGGGCTCAGGTGATTTTCCTGCCTCAGCCTCCCAAAGTACTGAGATTACAGGCATGAGCCACGGTGCCCAGCACTTTTTTCTTTTGAACTATGACTCTAACATGATTTTCACTGCCACGAATGGGGGTCCTCTGACGTAGTTTGTGTGTTATCTCCACAAGGTGACAGGCTGTGTTCTGGAAGGATGTTCGGAACTCGAATTTCAATTTTTAGTCACTGTCACTGGATTCTCAAACCAGCCTAGTTTGGGACAAGAGATTACAAAACACTCCTTAGAGACACTAACTCATCTCAACTAAAATAGGGAGTGAATGAACCTGGCATACTAAAGTGTTAATAATGACAAACTGAAGAATATAAAATAACCACAAAATAACGAGGCAATCTTGATGGAATGGGCACATGTACCTGTGTGCCTCATTTTATGCAATGTAGGTATTTCAAAGAAGTGTGTGAAATGAATTTCTGTGAGCTGAATATTCTAAACAGGCCAAAGAAGACTTGTTATTTAAAGAAATTCTGTAGGCAAATCTTTTTAACTGAAAAAGTAAGGAAACTCCTGTTTCAGAAATCATTTAGTCTATTTTGCTTAAAGTGAAGCACACTGGTATTAAACTAAGGAAAAAAATCAGTGAATTGGGTTCTACTGTTTACATTATGTATAATTTCCAAAGAGATAAGATAATGAAAAGTGAAGATGCCTAAACTGATTTGTGTATAATTCAACACATAGCTCGATCTACCAACAAAGAGTTTTCATTTGGCATTTGCAAACAGATTATCACTTAGATAGCACCACCAAATCAGCTTCAGTGTTGCAACCTGAACATCACTAAGGAGACCACAATTTTATTTCAGGAATCAATTAGGTATCCACTTAAGGTATTCTATTAAGTATTCCTAATTCTAATTAATTGATTGTAAATGATCATTTTTTAAAGCACAATCAAACTTTTTGGTTCTGTAAAAAATGTGGTTAATTATGGCCGGGCACGGTGGCTCAAGCCTGTAATCCCAGCACTTTGGGAGGCCAAGATGGGCGGATCACGAGGTCAGGAGATCGAGACCATCCTGGCTACCACGGTGAAACCCCGTCTCTACTAAAAAATACAAAAAACTAGCCGGGCATGGTGGCGGGTGCCTGTAGTCCCAGCTACTCAGGAGGCTGAGGCAGGAGAATGGCGTGAACCCGGGAGGCGGAGCTTGCAGTGAGCTGAGATCCGGCCACTGCACTCCAGCCTGGGCGACAGAGCAAGACTCCGTCTCAAAAAAAAAAAAAAAAAAAAAAAAAAAAAAAAAAAAAAAAAAAATGTGGTTAATTGTGGCTTTAAAAAGCTGGCCTACATTTTAATGTTCAAAGTAGAAGTTAAATATTTCGTAAAATGATAGTAATGACTCAAAAAAAGAACAAAAAAAGAAAAAAAGAAACTACATTTATGGTTTAGTGCCTCTATAATCTTGTTTATATCACCAAATACAAGTAACAACTGTGAAAAACAGCTTCCAGCTGCCAAATTGTTGGATGTTATGCTTGAGGAATGGGGAAAAGGAACATTTTTTGTATTTTTCTGGTTTTCGTCTCTGGTAAGAATGTGGAAACTTTGACAAAATATTGAGTTTCAGTATTTTAATACAAAAAACAGAACTGCTTAAAATAAAACAATTAAGAAACCGAACCACTCAAATTCAAAACCTCTGACCATTCATGTTCAAATGGTTTCCAGGATTTCATGTATTCACAGGGCTTTGAACAGATCCCAGAAAGGATGCTCCCCATTTTGGGCAACAGTAACACACCTCCTTCTCCAGACATCAATTACTCGTTGATTTGGAGTTAATTCAGAGGGAAGAGGAGAAAGCAAAGGAGCAACAGAAAGCTTGTTTTTGACAGAAAAGAATATAACAAAGGACAATCACAAACACATGAAATAGCAAATTTTACTTCACTAGTGTCAAGGGTAAGAATATCGCATCCAAGACTATAGATGAAACATTACTCTTAAATTTAATATTTTTATTTATATCACTCCCAAAATATTCATTTTCTCCAAAACTTTCAATTTCATAGCTAAACTTTCAAGACAAAAAACTAGAGCTCAAAAAGATCTACCCACTTAGATTCATCATAAGGCACTTTACAGATACAGTAAAGCTTTGTGTCCTTAGCAGAGAGCATTTTCTCCTTCTTGGACGTTGAGCTTGAGTCTTTTTCCTCTTCCCCCTTCCTCTTCTGGGAAGCAGCAGGTATGGTGGGTGCGGACAGGACAGGGTGTTGCACAGCAGGTGGAGCGGGAGGTGAAGGTGGAGGGGCTGGAGGAGCTGCCGTCACTGGTGGGGCAAGGTGCAGCTACTGCTGTGGCCTGAGCCACCTGCATCAGGTCTTTTTCGTCCTTAATTTTCAGGTCTCTCTTTAGCTCTTCCTGTTGTCAATTAAAGACGATACAAGACTATCATTAGAGTCATGTAAATGCATGATCTGGCCAGAAGATGGTACATTACCCACTCTTGTCGAAGTAGCTCCACAGTTCAGCCTAATATGAGAGAGTTTTCCTATATCTTAAACCCAACCAAGACAATTAGAAACAGAAAACGAAGATTACATAAAAACAACTAGAAAGCTGCTAGTTATCTTCAAAGGAGAGCTGACTGAAAGATGAGCCAAGTGCCTAGGAAGAGCATCGCTCCTGGCTTGCCCCTGTCCCATCTGGGCTCTTTCTGTGGTTGCTCAGAAGGTGATTTCAAGTGTCCTCATCCACTGGCTGCTTTCTTCTAGTTGCTTTTGCTCTCTGTCCTTACAGTGAGGCTGGACATGAACTGACCTGGAGACGCAAAATGTGGTCTGATCAGCAGAAAGCAGAAAAGAAGCAGATTTGCCTTGTTTATGATGATGCTCCTATGTCTAGAATTTCAGACTGCAGGGAGAGTTGGGCAACATAACACACTATTTTCTTTTTTGAAAAGATAATTTTTTTTTTTTTTTTTTGAGACGGAGTCTCGCTCTGTCGCCCAGGCTGGAGTGCAGTGGTGTGATCTCGGCTCACTGCAAGCTCCGCCTCCCAGGTTCACGCCATTCTCCTGCCTCAGCCTCCTGAGTAGCTGGGATTACAGGCCTGTGCTACCAGCCCTGGCTAATTTTTCTATTTTTAGTAGAGACGGGGTTTCGCCATGTTGGTCAGGCTGGTAACTGTATACTTCTTTCAACCTTTCTGTACATTTGAAATTTTTCATAAAATATTGAGGAAAAATGGAGAAGAAAAATTTAACTATCAAAAATAGAATTAAACTCACCTAAAGTAGACATGCATGTATATGAAAACCAAAGAGCTATACATTAGAAATGAAGTATTTTCTTTGAGGTTAACATCAAGTCAAAGTCATCAGGACAGGCTACGATTCTGAAATTCTTATTATCATGCTGCAAATTATTCTTGGCTATTGTCAGAACAGCAGTAGTTTCCATTGTTTTCACTTCAAAAAACTCCAAGTTACAGAACACTATTAGATATTATTTTGGGCATTTACCTGGACTGGGTGGTCCTAAACTGACTATCATAGCCAAGATTTTGGTTACCAGAGAGAACAAATAAAGGTAACGGTGGGGGACTGGTGTTTTAATGGGGGATTATTCTATCTGAATGTTCAATTCACTGACAATACACTCCTTAAAAAGACGCTGAGGGGATTAAAGAATTATAAAATACTTCGTTGAGCACCTGGCTCACAGTAGGCACTCAAAAATGTTAGTTACCCCTTCTCTTCCCCGTCAATTTTCAATTCTTGTGAATCCCTCCTCTTCTAGTACCACGTTGACGTTGTGCCTTAACAAAAAAAAAAAAAAAAAAAAAGGAAAGAAAGAAAAACATATTTATGTCATTTTTGGGGTCCAGATCTCACCATTAAATCCAAGGTGCAACTCATCTTACTTCCATGTACTCCGTGTAATACTGAGAGGATAACTGCAGGTTGCAAGGCAATCTCACAGCACACAAATTTTAGTTATCTAACCTTCTAAGAACATATTGTCGTCTAAAGCTCAATGCGCTTTGTTGTTCCCGATTACTACAAAAGGTTTAACTACTTTTTAAAAGTATATTACATGAATTATACTGAAATAGAACATGCTCATTGTAGAAAATGCAAAAAATATGAAAAGGAAACCAACTACAATTCTACTATGCTGACTGGTCATTTGTCAATGATAAAGGCTGATCCAGTTGATTATTTAGAGGAAGAGAATTTAAGTATCCCAATGACCCAGGCACAGTTTTTGCATGGTACTTTACTTAATTCTCCAATACGTAGTGTTCTATCACATGATAATTCATAATGACATTTACCAATCACCCTATATGAACATTTTTCAGACCACTTAACACTTTTGATTATCCATTCCTGTTTTGATTTTGTTCTTTATTTAATTAGGATTATACTGTATATATAATTTTATACACAGACAAGCTCACCCTGGAAAATATCTTTTTTCTTTTTTTTCTATTTTTATTTTTTATTCCGGGAAACATTTCTAATTCAACATACTTTATAAAAAATCATATCTCACATTGCCTTTTAGGGGTCTGAAGATTGTTCTCTGTTATTGTACTAAAACACAGGAGAGCAAAAAGGGATTTATCTATTTTAACGCCACGATTCATAAAAGGAAATTAAGGGGAGAAGTAAGCTGGCTGCAATTAATAAAACTTCCTATGATTTGATCTATATGGAGGGGAGAGTAAGACGGAGATTGTGTTATTGCAATTACTGATCCCCCAGACTTCTGAACACTGAAACTTTTCTAATAAAAAAATTACACATTTTTCTAAACAGATCTAAAAGAGGAATACTTCTAACTAACAGATATGAATAAATATAATTCATGATAACTAAGAATGCTTTTTTCTGAAGACAAAGTATATTTGTGCCCAACAGTTTTTATATATGAGAGCCTATCATTCTCCAAAAATATGCATGAATTCACAGGAATATTGATGTAGAACATGTGAGAACAAACTTGGATACGGCTATCTGGGTATCTTTATTAAATATAAACAGTCTATATTTAAGCAAATGGAGAATGGGGAAAATTAATAGGATTATACGTATAGCAGATAATGTATGCAGAAGAGCAGAACTCAGAACCAGGCACTTGAAAGTGTACTTGCAGAATCTTACCTAATCATTTTATCCAAGTTAAAACTTAAAAGGCACTACAGTCGGCCCTCCGTGGCCAAAGGTTCTGCATTCTTGGATTCAACCAACCTCAAATTGAAAATACAGTATTCTCAGGATGCAGAACCCTTGGATATGGAATGTCACCTTTTCATATCAGCAGGTTCCACAGGGCCGACTGCAGGACTTGAGCATCCACGTATTTTGCTATCTGCAGAGGGCTCTGGAAGCAATCCCTGAGAATACTGAGGGATAGCTATATTAGAAAACACAGGGGCTGGGCTTGGTGGCTCACGCCTGTAATCCCAGCACTTTGGGAGGCCGAGGTGGGCAGATCACGAGGTCAGGAGATCGAGACCATCCTGGCTAACACAGTGAAACCCCGTCTCTACTAAAAATACAAAAAGTTAGCTGGGCGTGGTGGTGGATGTCTGTAGTGCCAGCTACTGGGGAGGCTGAGGCAGGAGAATGGCGTGAACTTGGGAGGCAGAGCTTGCGGTGAGCCCAGATCGCACTACTGCATTCCAGCCTGGGCAACAGAGTGAGATTCTGCCTCAAAAAATAAAAAAAAAAAGAAAAAAGGAAAAGAAAAGAAAGCACAGGTGGTATTTATTAAACATGCACAGAATACATCTGGCAGGATAAAAAAATATAGCAATAATGATTGCCTCTGGGGCAAGGAAGGTCAGATTGGAGATTATGAAGGAGAGAGATTCATTTTTCACAGCATACCCTTTTATACTATTTAAACTTTTAAGATACATAGTATTTATAACTTAAAAAAATAAAAGGAAGGCCACGTACGGTGGCTCACACCTGTAATCCCAGCACTTTGGGAGGCCAAGGTGGGCGGATCACGAGGTTTAGGAGTTCGAGACCAGCCTGGCCAATATGGTGACACGCTGTCTCTACTAAAAATACAAAAATTAGCTGGGTGTGGTAGCTGATACCTGCAGTCCCAGTTACTCGGGAGGCTGAGGCAGAAGAATCGCTTGAACCCAGAAGGCAGAGGTTGCGGTGAGCCAAGATGGTGCCACTGTACTCCAGCCTCGGTGACAGAGCAAGACTCCGTCTCAAAAAAAATAAAAAAGAATAGCAGAGTTGAGTAATAAAATACATAAGGTAACATTGTATTATAACCTAATAAATATCCAATTATAACCCAATAAGTATAAAATAGATATCCATGAATCTATACTCACAGAAATAAATGTCTGAAAAAATAAACGAGTACACAAATCTCCTGTACAGAAAAATTCCAAATAATTGATGTAGATATTGCCCCTTCAAGAAGGTAGAACATAACTCCCCACCCACCAAGTGTGGCTGTTTACAGTGACTTACAGTATTGGGGGTTTGAGGAGATGGGGGAGGATGCGGGAAAACCTGACAAACACTGCCTCACCCAGGGGACCAAGGTTAACATCATCAGTGATAAGTCACGAGGACAGCATGTACTCTTGATAAGAAGATGAGAACTGCACTTCACCTCTGTGGTCTTCCTCCCCAAAATGCAAAAACCGAGGCTGACCATGAGAAAAACCCATAATGAGGGCTTTCTACAAAATACCTAACCAGTACTCCTCCAAACTGTCAAGGCCATCAAAAACAAGGAACGTCTGAGAAACCGACAATCCCGAGGAAAACATGATGACTAAATATCATGTGGTATAGGATGATGAGGCAGAAAAAGGGCATCAGATCAAAACTAAGGAAATCTGAATAAAGTATGGACTTGAGTTATTAACAGTGTATCAATACTGGTCCATTAGTTGTAACAAACATCCCACACTAAACTAAGACATTAATAACAGGGGCAACCAAGTACAGGATATATGGAAACCTCTACTAACTTTGCAACTTTTGTATAAATCTAAAACTACTCTAAATTTTAAAGTTTTATTTTTTTAAAGGGCAAACATTTCAAAAAGAATATTATTTCTTAAAATTAAAAGCTGGAATGCCAAAAAAGTTTAATAAGATACTTGAATTAAAGAAACAAACATTTTGGGGAATATTAGTGATGACCCAACGCAGAAATAAAACACTAAAATGTACAGCATCCCTAATTTATGTTGGAATGGACAAGGTTGTCTTGGGAAAATGAAATATGGAGAACTAAAGTAAAATATACACACAGTCACGCACTATACAATGTTTCTGTCCACCAGGAACCACATACGTGAAGGTGATCCCATAAGATTACATGTATTATCTTTTTAAATGTTTAGGCATGGTTAGATACACAAATACCTACCGTTGTGCTACAAATGCTCATGGGATTCAGTACAGTCACATGACATACAGGTTTGCAGCCTAGCAGCAATAAACTATGCGTATAACCTAGGTGTATAGGAAACCCTACCATCTAGGTTTGTGTAAGTGTACTCCATGATGTTCACACAATCATGACATCGCCAAATGACACATTTTTCAGAATGTATCCCCATCATTAAGCAATGCAAGACTGTACTTGAAAATTTTAATCTATTTTCAAATTTTGCAGTGATTTCATACAACAGTTTAGCTCAGACTTAACAAAAATAAAATGAGAAAATGCCTCTCTCACCATTAGCTGCCGCCAGAAAGGATTTGTTACTGCCCCGAGTCTTATCAGTCAGGCCTTCGGTTATGGCCATGTGTCGGTGGATTTCTTCACACATTTCTTCCAGAATTTTGCAGAGTTCTGCTTCCTAATATTTGTCTAGACAGTCAATTAATTATGCAAACTAGACCTTTGTGCTGTAGTACCACATTTTCTTTTCATTTTCATTTTCTGTATCTTCTTCTCTGTTTAAAAATGGGAGGAAATACTTATATGTTTGACATAATGCCACTTATCTGACAGTTTCATCTAGCCAGTGAGAGTTAAAACAAAGCTTATGCACTAAAACTCAATATATGTGCTCACAAGAGATCCCTGCAGGCCTTACTCAAACTTGATTGACTCTGAGAAAGGACATCTAAAAAACATGACACAAAGAAAGATGGTCTCAAAATTCAGAACCACGTGAGAGTACTTTGTGGAAGCCAGTTTCAGCTACATCTCAATCAACTTTAAGATCATCAGTGTAACAATATGATGCGCAGAATGTATTTAGAATTATTTTATTTTATTTATCGAGATGGAATTTTGCTCTTGTCACCCAGGCTGGAGTGCAGTGGTGCAATCTCAGCTCTGCCTCCCGAGTTCAAGCGATTCTCCTGCCTCAGCCTCCAGAGTAGCTGGGGCTACAGGCATGTCCCACCACACCCGGCTAATTTTTGTACTTTTAGTAGAGATGAAGTTTTACCAGGTTGGCCAACATGTTCTCTATCTCCTGACCTTGTGTTCCGCCCACCTTGGCCTACCAAAGCGCTGGGATTACAGGCATGAGTCACCGCACCCTCCCCCCCCAGAATTATTTTATAATAAAACAAATTCATTTTAGAGAGAGGGTCTCACTTTGTCACCCAGGCTATAGTGCAGTGGCACCATCATGGCTCACTGTGTACTCGGATTCCTAGGCTCAAGCAATTCTGCCTCAGCCTCCCAAGTAGCTAGGATTACAGACATGTGCCGCCATACCCGGCTAACTTTATAATATAGTTTAGAAATATTTCCATCAAAATGGTGTAAATGTTTGCTAAGTTCTGGTTCTTGAAGGAGTTTTCTCAAATAATATTTCATCCCTCTTCCTTACTTCTGGACAACCAAAGCCCAAATTGGAGAGAAGAGGAGCATCCTTTCCTGTCTAAAATTCTCCTAAGGTTCCATTCACTTTTAATGGATTTAAAGACTTCAACAGAGATAGTCACTAACTTAAAAGAAACAGGTAAATTAATGTCTAGGACTAGACGTAGAGGAACACATATAATGGTATTTCTGTTCCCACTCAAAAGGAATTCTAGAGTATGTGTGAGGCAATTGATGAGAGTGAGTCTGATTTTCCCGTTTCCTCAATGGCAAACTGAGGGAACTGAAAAAACTGGGCTTTAGGAGAGATCTGGCTTTAAATAGGCTAATTTGCTTATAAGATATGGGATTCAGTACAGTCACATGACATACAGGTTTGCAGTGGAGTACCCTTATTCTGAAAATCTGAAATCCAAAATGCTCCAAGATCCAAAAGTTTTTGAGTGCCAACATCTGTTCAAAGGAAATGCTCATTAGAGCATTTCAGATTTTCAGATTAGGAATGATCAACTGGTAAGTATAATACAAATATTCCAAAGCCCATAATACTTCTCATCCAAAGCATCTTAGATAAGGGATGCTCAACCTATACAGTATTCACTGACTTATCATTTTTCTTCTTGAAGCCACAGAAAGATTAATTAATTAAAGCATAAAGTAGCAAAACAGTAAATACTTGCTAATCCATTCAAAGAAAACTTGGTTTTTTTTCTTGGTCTGTTTTAACTTTTCTTTTTCTTTTTTTCTTTCTTTCTTTCTTTTTTTTTTTTTTTTGGCGGGTGATGGAGTCTTGCTCTGTTGCACAGGCTGGAGTGCAGTGGCATGATCCTGGCTCACCACAACCTCCACCTCCCAGGTTCAAGCAATTCTCCTGCCTCGGCCTGCTGAGTAGCTAGGACTACAGGCACATGCCACCATGCCCAGCTAATTTTTGTGTTTTTAGTAGAGACGGGTTTTCACTATGTTGGCCAGGCTAATCTCTAACTTCTAGGCTCAAGTGATCCGCCCCTCTGGCTTCCTAAAGTGCTGGGATTATAGGCCTGAGCCACGAGCCTGCCTACCCTTTTCAAACAAAATATGGGCATTTCCATTGGCCTAGGCCTTCACCTTGTCTACTTTACTGACTTGCATTACTTACCTAGTCCCTGGAGACATATACACGTTTGCCACCCTTAGAGCTCAACAATTCAATATTGTTTTGAATGTATTTATTTGGCAATTAGTGCTTGTAGTTTAATTTTCATTTCACATATGTGTTCCATTTTCCTAACTAGATTGAAATAAGCCATTTTTCTTTATTTATTTTTTAAAAATTTTGAGACAGGGTCTTGCTCTGTCACTCAGGTTGGAGTGCAGTGCTGCAACCACGGCTCAGTGCAACACCCACCTCCCAGGCTCAAGTGATCCTCCTCCCTCCCCTTTTCGCGTAGGTGGGACCACAGGTGCGCACCACTATGCCCGGCTAATTTTTCAATTTTTTTCTAGAGACAAGGTCCTGCTATATTGCCCAGGCTGGTCTCGAACTCGTGACCTCAACCCATCATCCAGCCTTGGCCTCTCAAAGGGCTGGGACTGCAGGTGTGAGCTATCGCGCCCGGCCAACTATTTTTCTTTAAATTACTTTTTGGTTGTCACTTATCTCAATAAATATTAATATATGTTTATAAAACCTTTCTCTTATCTGAAGAGCTGACCTCAACCACTCAGGGTTGAGTCCTTGTGATAAGGTTTCAGAGTGCCTGAAATGTCATCATGATTCGTTCCCTGGGCTAAGCTGAAACCTAGTGACATGTCAGGTCAATAAATTAAGGTTATTTCCCGATAATACAAACATGTAACACCGTGAAGTAGGCTTTAGGCAAGATTCCGTCTTTTCCACAGCAAAGGAGAGGTAAGTTCTTGCTGAGGTGGTCGAGATCCTACCTGAGACACTGGGAAGGTGGCGGGAGATTGGAACATGCAGTAGTTGCGTTCTGGAGTTTACTGAGGTTTTCCCAGTGGGGATTCCGCGCAACAGGTGTTAGGGCCCCCCTCCCTCCGGGCGAGCAGCCCGGGGTGTGGCTCCTGGCACAGATTAGGAGCAGTTGTCATCTGAGTCAATTTCAGGACTCCAAGCTCCAAGCTTCGGAGTCTCCCAAATTCTGGGGGCTTGTCTCTTTGTCCCCTCAACTCGACCAATTTCCCTCCGTCGCTGGCGCTGCCCGGTCCCTTAGGTCGCTCGGGCCGCCCCCCTCCGCGACTTTTTTTTTCGTTCTCTGGCTGGCTCTTTCAGCCACATTTTCCCTAGGGGGCGAGAGGGGAATGATATCTGGGGGTTCCCCTGCCTTCCTCTCCGAGCCGCGGAAGGGGAGACGCGGGGAGGAGGTCCGGCCGGCTTTGGGCTCCAGCCAGGGGTCCGCGGAGACTGTGGTCTCCGAAGGTCTTAGACGCCGAGCATTTCATGAGCTGCGCGTCTCTCTAAGCCGCGCCAGTGCGCCGGGAGTCCACCTGCACCGAGCGCCGCGCTGCGCCAAGCCCAGGCGCCGCGGGCTCTCAGCCACGGACTCAATGCTCCCGTGCTCCCCCTAGCGGCAGCCGCGCCACCTCGCCACGTCCCAGGCTCCTCGTCGGCGCAGCTCACGTGACCGTGCTCCAGTAGACGGAAGAAACAGGATGGCGGTTGAAAGCTATCTGGACTAGGCCGGGCGCGGTGGCTCAAGCCTGTAATCCCAGCACTTTGGGAGGCCGAGACGGGCGGATCACGAGGTCAGGAGATCGAGACCATCCTGGCTAACACGGTGAAACCCCGTCTCTACTAAAAAATACAAAAAAACTAGCCGGGTGAGATGGCGGGCGCCTGTAGTCCCAGCTACTCGGGAGGCTGAGGCAGGAGAATGGCGTAAACCCGGGAGGCGGAGCTTGCAGTGAGCTGAGATCGGCCACTGCACTCCAGCCTGGGCGACAGAGCAAGACTCCGTCTCAAAAAAAAAAAAAAAAAAAAAAAAAAAAAGAAAGCTATCTGGACTGGGGATCCAGCCGCTCGGATTGAGCTTTCTCCCTCCAACCACTTCCGCCGGTCGGGACCCTAGTGCCCGGCCCCTTGGGCTTCCCCATCCGGCCCCGGCGTTCCCCACTGCGCCGGGCCCTCCCGGGCCGCTTTGCCTTCTCCCTCGGCCTCCGCTCCAACGTGAGGGGCCGGCGGGGCAGGCTGACCAAGCAGCCCGCGGCTCCCGCTGCGGAGCGCTGAGCCCCAGCCGGTCGTCGCCGCCGCCCACGTCCGGACCCATCCGGGGGGCTCCGCTCGCGGCAACGCGGTAGCAGCTGGGGCAGGTGGGTCGCCGCCAGGCTGAAGTGGCGCCCAAGATGCGGCTGATCTCGCCCAGGGTGGGCTGCAGTAGCCAAAGGAAGCCGCCGCCGCCGGCCCGGCCCAGCACCAGCGCCCCGGGCTGGCGAGGAGGCGGGGGCAGCCACCTGGCCCGGACCACCGCGGCCCGGAGGGCGGTCAACAAAGTCGTTTAGGATGACCACGAGAGCGAGGAGGAGGCAGAGGAGAAGGACGGCGACGCCGAGGAGACCCAGGAGTCTGAGGACAACTAGGAGGAGGGGGTGGAGGACGACGACGATGACCGATTATACGGAGGAGCTGGAAGACAACCACGAGGACGCCAGTTACTCCACGGAAAGCAGCTTCAGGAACCGTAGAACCTACGGCAGCACTCCAGGTACCCACCTAGCCCAGTTGCTGCAGACTCCTTCCTCACCTCCTCTACCCTCCCCCCTTGCTCACTCCTGTGCTGTGCATCCTGCTCCGATCTACCCCCTAACCCCGCCGACCCCCAGAGGGGTAGTGCGAGGGCACATCAAGTGGCAAAAAACTAGATTTATAAGAGGAAAGAGGCGCGTTGTTCAAAATAGAGATTGCACTGTTGCAGTTTGCAGGCCACGCTTGCTTGCTCTCTCTCCACTTCCCCCGCCAGCCCCCTCTTTTTCCTCCTTAGACTTTGTGCCGGTGCAGTGTCTCCACCAGGCAAGATTGAAACTTTGGCAAACACATATCCATTGCTTTCATTTTTCTCCCCTTGTTTTGGTGTGGTTTTCTGGAATGAAAGAAGCCTCTTGTTTTGCAAACTTCTTTGCATTTCTAATGTGGTTCCTTTCGGATTTTTATTATCTGTTCCTTAAAAGGGAATTAAGGATTTGGACAGATTGTGGACACAAACACACACAAAAACATGCCTGTTTTCACACCCCTAGCTGTGGTTTCAAAATTGTGTTAAGGAAACGGATCATTTGGGTTAATAGGGGAACCTTATCTGGTCCTGTGTGCTTGTTTTTATTCTTCGAGTGCTAATGGGCCCATGCTACAGTTGCTGGTAAATGGCTGTTTAAAAAGCAAAGCAGAAAGCCAAACAAGACCCAACCAAATTTGGTAATTCATCCTATTCAAAATTGTTTTGGTTAAATCAAAAATAAAAGCACAAGACCGCAGGAACGCGCGTCTTAACTCATTTGATCGCTTTGCCTTGCTTGGGAATGCGGTTTCGTGTAACCTGTTGCAGAAGATGTGTAGTTGATCATCTGGACATAATTGCTGAAGATGAACTTTTGGACCAACTTCTGAGTCACACAGCGTCAGTATCAGATTTCTTACACAACGACTTTTTCTTTTCACTCTATTTCTGAGGAAAAAGCCCTCCCGAAATCCGCAATGAATTTCTCCATGGTAACCCCTCTTCTGTTTTCACACAGAAAAGTTTCTCTGGGCTGGTAGTGAGATACATTTTGTTAAATACCCCCCGCGCCCCCAAAGGCTGCTTTGTATTAAATACGTAGTTGCAATGTGCTAAATTGTGAAATTAACATAACCGAAGCAACAACCGGCAAGACTTTTCCTTTATAATTTTGCAAATCTAGATTAATTAGATTAGAATCTGTTTTTCTTTTCTTTTTTTTTTTTTTTTGACACGGAGTCTCGGAGTCTCGCACTGGCGCCCAGGCCGGAGTGCAGTGGCAGAATCTCGGCTTACTGCAAGCTCCTCCTCCTGGGTTCACCCTGTTCTCCTGTCTCAGCCTCTCCATTAGCTGGGACTACAGGCGACCGCCACCACGCCTGGCTAATTTTTTGTATTTTTAGTAGAGACGGGATTTCTCCATGTTGGTCAAGATGGTCTCAAACTCCTGACCTCAGGTGATCCAGCCGCCTTGGCCTCCCAAAGTGCTGGGATTACAGGCGTGAGCCACGGTACCCGGCGTAGAATCTGGTTTTATTTTTATTTTATATATATATATTTTTGAGACGGAGTCTCGTTCTGTCGCCCAGGCTGGAGTGCAGTGGCCGGATCTCAGCTCACTGCAACCTCCGCCTCCCGGGTTCACGCCATTCTCCTGCCTCAGCCTCCCGAGTACCTGGGACTACAGGCGCCCGCCACCGCGCCCGGCTAGTTTTTTGTACTTTTTAGTAGAGACGGGGTTTCACCGTGTTAGCCAGGATGGTCTCGATCTCCTGACCTCGTGATCCGCCCGTCTCGGCCTCCCAAAGTGCTGGGATTACAGGCTTGAGCCACTGCGCCCGGCCAAAATCTGGTTTTAAAAGCATTTAAAATATAAAGTTTATGAGGAACTATTTGTGAGGAAAAAGGACCCTTTTTCCTTGAAGTGAGGTGTGTCATGTCTTTCTCAGAGAGGCTAGGGTAGTAGAAGTGGTTAAATTGAAAACTTTCTGTTTTTTTATAAATGCTTAAATACTTATTGGAGAAGCAGGGTAGTATTATATTAAGCCAAACATAAACTGAAAAAGGTAATTACTTTTGCCCGATGGTCAGAATCATTGCCAGACTTGTCCTGGGAGGCTGGCTGAAGAATGAAGGGAATGAATCAAGTGTCAGGTATTTATGTCTTATAGAAAAGTAGAAAACAGTACATGTAAATTCTTGCCAACTTAATTTTAGTACTTTTTTTTTTTTTTTTTGAGACAGGGTCTTGCTCTGTCGCCTTGGCGGGAGTGCAATGGCGCAGTCTTGGCTCACCGCAACCTCCACCTCCAGGGCTCAAGTGATTCTCCTGCCTCAGCCTCCTAAGCAGCTGGGATTACAGGCGCCCACCAGCACACCTGGCTAATGTTTGTATTTTTAGTAGAGATGGGGTTTCACCATGTTGGCCAGGCTGGTCTCGAACTCCTGACTTCGTGATCCGCCCACCTGGGCCTCCCAAAGTGCTGGGACTACAGGCGCAAGCCACCGCGCCAGGCCTAGTAAGTGTTTTATAGTAACAATCTTTACCTTAAGAAATCACATGTTGGTCTTTGTACCCAGAGCCGGTAATTGAAACATGGAGACTGGATTGCATACACCCCTGGAGGAAGTTTTTTCTGGTTAGAGCTGAGACATTTTGGCAGCAGTTCAGCTAATTTTAAGTCCTACTTAAAGGCCTAGCAAATAATATTTAGGATTGATGGCTCTGCATATGCTGACTTAAATTACAATTTATAGCTAGGTGTCCTTTAAAAAAATGTGTTTACTTTTGATACTTTTGTGACATTTTGTTTGTCTTTTTTTGAGGAGGAGTTTTGCTCTTGGTGCCCAAGCTGGAGTGCAATGGTACGATCTCAGCTCACTGCAGCCTCTCCTGAGTTCAAGCAGTTCTCCTGCCTCAGCCTCCCGAGTAGCTGGGATTACAGGCATGCACCACCATGCCTGGCTAATTTGGCATTTTTAGTAGAGACGTGGTTTCTCCACGTTGGTCAGACTGGTCTCGAACTCCTGACCTCAGGTGATCCGTCTGCCTCAGCCTCCCAAAGTGCTGGGATTACAGGCGTGAGCCACCATTGCCTGGCCTGACATTTTGTTTTTCTTAATGACACTTGGAGCCTACTGTGTGTCTACTTGTCCTATCCGTATATGAAATGATTAACTCTGTAGAGACAGTATTGAGCCTGTTCCCCTGCAGCTCCTGTAACAGTGTTTCGCGCATAGCCCGTGCTCATCAAAAGTTGGTTGGATAAATTATTGTTAGTAGATGAGAACTTGTAATAGATGAAGTTTTGATAATTCTACAGCGGGTGTCATAACCCCTAAATATTTTGGATTTAGGAAACTAAAAATTGTCCTAGTTGTTTTTTGTTGTTGTTGTTGTTGTTCTTTTCTAATTGGGTTTTGATGGACAATTTGATTACTGAATGTTTTTATTTTTATTATTTATTTATTTATTTTTTTGAGACAGAGTCTCGCTCTGTCGCCCAGGGTAGAGTGCAATGGCACACATGATCTTGGCTCATTGCAACCTCCGCCTCCTGGGTTCAGGCAGTTCTCCTGCCTCCTCCCGAGTAGTTGGGACTACAGGTGCACGCCACGACGCCCAGCTAATTTTTTGTATTTTAGTAGAGGCGGGGTTTCCCCATGTTGTCCAGACTGTTCTGGAACTCCCGAGCTCAGGCAATCCGCCCTCCTCGGCCTCCCAAAGTGCTAGGATTACAGGCGTGAGCCGCCTCTCCTGGCCCAGTGCATGTTTTTCATTGCAAGAGTTACTTTGTTTTTGAGTTGCTATTTCATATTGCTTGCCAGGCATTTTCGTTTATTGGCTGCGATGTTAATTTGAATGTTTTACCTTTTGCAGCACATTATTTCTTAAGATTATGGTAAAATGGATGTGACTTTTTTTTCCCCTTATTTCTTCTAAAAACAAAACGGGGTACATGTGCAGAACGTTCAGGTTTGTTTCATAGGTATACGTGTCCAATGGTGGATTGCTGCACCTATTGACCCGCTCTCTTAAGTTGCCTCCCCTCGACCCCCAGCCCCCGCGGATATGAGTGACA